CAATTCTAGAATATTTTTGTATTCCTTCTACTATCAAAAAAACGTTCATCGTTAATATTGCCTAAACCTACTCTGATATTTTTTTCTCTTTGTTCCCTTTTGGTGCTTCAAAAGTGTAGATGATCACTTGGAAGCAAAATTAAAAGAAGGAAGGATTTTCCATGATCTATTTATATTTTTCTCTTGTGTATTCATCTACATCTTTTTCTGTACTTGTGTCTAAATTCATATAAAATATTTTTGTTCACTTTAGTTACAAATGGTGACACTCAGTCTTTTTTACTCATGGTGCCACCTCATCATCCTACATGGATTTAGGTTTTGATAATCCATTTCGGGTTGTCCTTTTCCATTGTTCATTAGGTGGGAGACAGAAAAATGGCTTTGGCCGGGAATAAGAAAATACAATAAAAATTATTATGTATAGAAGTCAATCTCGCTGAATACAATCGTATTCAATACCCAATGACCAAGAAGAATGAGTGTGTATTTAAAAAAAAAAGTATAAAATGTTGATTAAGGGGGAGAAGTTGTATCATAAACTAATTAAATGCGCCATTTGCAACATATATATGTTATGGCTAGATTTACATCTCAACGATCGTGGTTTGTTTTTAATAGTTACTAGGTGTGAACCCCGCGATGCGCGGTTTATTATTTTTTGTTGTCAATATAAAATATTTGCTATTTTATTATGGAAAATCATTGAAATAAACATATCAAAAGTTATATATTGATATATATAGAAAAGAAAAAGATGAATGAATATATTAGAAAGTTACTCCCTATATTTTATTAATTTATAATTATATATATTTTTTAAAAATTTATTATTTAATATCCAATCATTCATTTTTTTCGTGTCCAACAATCTCATATATAGAAGAGACATGCCAAAATAATATGAATATAAATTAATTTATAAATTAAATATGTGAGTCTAAATTACTTGGAGTAATTGTAATGGAAATATTTGATGTTGTTCTTGAAAGCCAGGTACACATAATACGTACACATAATACGTATTACCAACTTTATATACAATCCAAAACATTTTATGGCGCACAAAAAAAACATATAATGAAATAGAGAAAATCCATTAATGCAACATAAAAAAACCCCAACAAAACATAGCGTGTCAAGAGATAGAGTGTCACCGGTTTTTGGGAGGTTTGATCTGACCTTTGGTGTTATGCGACTTTTCCATCGAAAATAAACCTTCAAAATTTCTTTGGAAGTAGATTATATTGTATATTATCCTGAAGTAGATATCAATGGTATGATATATCTTGTCTTCGGTAACCGTGTATTGTTCAGAAATAAGTTCAACAAACCAGATTAGATATAGAAATAAAAATAATTTTATGAATAAATGATTATATTTATCAAAATTCTTCTAATCACTTTATTTTTTCTAACTCCATTTTAAAATTTTATTATTTTATTTTATCATAATTCATTATAATTATATTTTTTTAACTTATTTCATCACTTTAAAAACTTTTCCTTTATAATAAGTTTTCATCAGTTTTATAAATAAATTTTATTATTTTTGTTAACACGATAGTAAATAATTGTTTTGTCGTAACCTAATATGTATCAATACTATTTCATATGTACGTTAAAGTATGTTAATTATCTTATATCACAATATCGTCATTGATCTATGAGTGATCTAAACAAATATTATACAATATTCTTAATATATTTTTATTTTAGTATCCAAATCATAATTTCCACTGTTAATAGAACTAATATTATATATATATGTATGTAATATTGTGTCAAAACATGTTTATAACAAATCACTAATATGTAATTTTTCAAAAACTATACAATGCTTATGTAATACATTATGTATGAATGATTGATCATTAGTCACTTTCAATGCAAGTTTTTTGAGCTTGTTCCTAGCTTTGAGTTGATTCATTTACAAAAACATACATTATCGATAAGATTATCCGGTGCATCTCCTCCATCTTTTATCCATGGATGGTCTGAACATAAAAATATGTAACCATTCCAGTTTAATGACTAACCGTAACCAATAACTGGAAACTGAAAAATCGTTCTTATGAAGTGGATGATGACGTTCTCATGCCAAATAAACACTCATGTTAAAACCAATATAATTGTTCAATACTCTCGAGGCACAGGGTCGTGACTACGGGCTTGCCGGAAGTGATAGCCTCTAGCATGTATCTCCTTGTGGGCACAAATTTATCCGCTTCTGTTATAGAGGATGATGTTATATAACAATACCATGTTTGAGCGTAAGAAATTAATTAGGAAAATCAACAAATTAATTAGAAAAGTGAATTTAACAAAATCAACAAATTGAAACTAATTAGAGAAATAGCAAATAGTAAATAGGATGAAGTCGTGGAGTAATCAATATGACGTTCGAATAGCCCACCGTTTTTTTTAATTTTTTATTTTATTAAATATCAACATAATGGATATGTAAAGCCACTTCCTCCTAATCTAACGCTCGATTGTGTTTCCATAGAATAATTATTTAAAACCAAATCCGTTATGTTGATCCAAACAAATGCTATTTATGATAACATAATCAGTTGGCAATATATATTCTTTGATATATATATATATATATATATATATTCGTATATAAATTTTTTAATTGGAAAAAATCATTAATACTTATTGGATTACAACAATTAATGAAAAAAATCATAGGAGTTTTGTTCTTCTAAAAATTTGTACAGAAATAAAAGTAGTGACATTTGAAATGTCGTCACTATATATATCCTTTGAAATATATATATATATATATATCTATTGGAAAAAACTACTAATGCTTAATGGATTACAACAATTAATGAAAAAAATAAAATTAGTGGCATTTGAAATGTCGTCTATATATATATCCTTTGAAATATGTGTATATATATATATATATTCATATATAATTTTTTTATTAGAAAAAACCATTAATGCTTAATGGATTACAACAATTAATGAAAAAAATCACAACAATTTTGTTCTTCTAAAAAGTTGTACAGAAACAAAATAAGTGGTATTTGAAACGTCTAATGAAACTTTTAAAAAAATAGATTTTGAAATTATAATAATCTATTAATATTTTAAAAATTAGTGAACCTTTTCACTTTAATATAATATAAAGGTAAATTTTTTATTTTTTTTAAAATAAAGTAATCTTTTGTTAATTTTCCTTTTTATATAAATAAAAAAACAAATATTGATATATAACTAAATAAATGTTTATGTAATATATAAAAATTTTCCTCCAAAATATTTTTTTTTAAATGTAACCTTTTTAAATTATAATAATTTTTCAATATTTTTTGTTTTTATATCAAGATTACAAATAAATTTTTTATATATAGTTAATAAAGATTATAATTAATCAATAGAAATTGAAATTTCTTTTTATTATTATTGTAATATATTTGTTTTGATGTTATGGAAAAAATATTGGAATATATGTAGTCAAATTATATATATATATATATATGAAGAAATGAAGAAATGAAGTATCATTACATTATTATAATATAAAATTATTCATATATATTTTTTAAAAAAATATGTTTAGAATAATTTTACATATTTTTTCAGGATGAAATGCATGTATAGTCATTGTCATTGCTGGTCTTATCCTATTTCTCTTTGCACTATGCGGAAAATTTTATTTTAATATTTTTAATTGAATAATAATAGAAAATATTAGAATAATAAAATATACATAATATTTTTAAAAAAAATTATATAAAATGTTTCGATCTACATTCATCTATATAAAGATATATTTGAGGATTTTACCAGCACACTTTGCTTCACAGACCATATACCTATAAAAACTTCTTCTTTCTCCATTTCGAGATCAAAGTTTACAATTTTTCTTTTGAATCATAAATTGTAAAACTTCATCTTGAACAATACACCGAAATGTTGCCTCCCAAAACGTATTAAACAATATCTAATAAGATCAAAATATGTATTATCTTCATTTTCTTTTAATCAAATAAAAATCATAATGATATATAAAAGTTAAGTTTAAATACCCAATTCGGACAGTTTAACCGGTGAAATGGGTATTCAAAGTATATGTTCCGCTCCAAATTCGAATCATATGACTGGCTCTGAGTCTCGAGATTAGTATGGATTTCGTCGCATGATACTCGATTTTTAAAAAATAAGGTCCAAATAGATTTTTAATGTAATAAAGAGTAATTTTTGGTAATTATTTTAATTATAATATTTGTTGAGATAAATTTAGTAAAATATGTCATGTATTATTTTTTTATTTAGGAAAAAAATATATTTATAAAATTATATATATAAACAACAAAAATAAATAAATATTAATATATTGCATATATTGAGTGTTTTTATTTTATTGCTACGCATATATATACATAGTTTCATATATATATACACACACATAGATATATATATATATACATACATACATTATTTCTTCATACACATCATGTATGTATAACATATATTTGTCGATTTTAATGATTCAACTTCAATTTAAATTTTATTATATACAATTAAAAAATTTAATTTATTTTTTATTAAAGATAATAATAAATTAAATGAAAAATGATTAGGTTTATTAAGTTTGTTATTAGCGATATTCATAACTTTGATAATAACGGATATGATAATGAATAAGTTTGAGATTAATTACTCATAATAATATCATTTATTCAATATATATATATATATACATACCATGTACATTATACAATTAAAAAATTTAATTTATTTTTTATTAAAGATAATAATAAATTAAATGAAAAATGATTAGGTTTATTAAGTTTGTTATTAGCGATATTCATAACTTTGATAATAACGGATATGATAATGAATAAGTTTGAGATTAATTACTCATAATAATATCATTTATTCAATATATATATATATATACATACCATGTACATAAATCATGTTTTCACATAAAAATCTAAAACAAACACATCAATTCAAACTTTAATTAATAAATTAAATGATAATAATAATATTAAATTCTATTTAAATCACCAAAATGGTTAAAATGTTTTACAATAAATATAAACTTACAAAATTATAGAGTAATATGACAGAATGTCTAATTCGTCCAATTCTTCGATATCAGCATCGTCCACCGGTTTTACTCCTCTGTTATATCTTTCCACTGGACGGTCGTCCTTCCTCCATCTAATTTCGTGAGTCCACCATTTTGCGACATGAAAACAAAAGATTTTACCTTCGAACCATTGCTGACATAGCCAAGAAATTCAAGGTCATCTCTTCTGATATATTTAAAAAGGAAACAAAAAATATATCTTTATGTAATAAAAGTTAAAAATTCTGTTTTTTTTAACATGATATTCTCATAATATTATTTTAACAATTAAAACTTATTCGAAATTTATCAGATTACCTTACATATTAGTCAACCAAAAATATTCGATTGATAATGGTATTCAGATAAATAAAAAGGATAACAAATAAAATCTATTTATAAATTGAAGTAAATTAAAATTATAGTAAGACATAAAACTAATAGTAAAATAGAGTTGTTTTGATAATACAATATTGAGTTTTTTTTTAAATATAAAAATAAGTAAATAAAAGTTGCAGTAATATATAATCTAAGGTTGCAATATGGGCACTACAGAGTTTTCAGGTAGGCCAATATCAGTTCTACTTCTCAATATATATGTACACACAGATGCAATGCAGTTGTAAGCAATAGTAAGGGTTTACATGAGAGGAGTGGTGGGGAAACATCGTATTCCAAAACATCCTTTGTTTATGTTCTATAGATTTAAAGATTTGTATTCTTGTTTACCAAAAAAAAAAAAGATTTGTATTCTAGGAATCATCCACTCCAAAGCAAACGTTGGAATACATGGAGGAAGACGAAAACGTGTTTTGTTTGGAAATTTTTTGTATTTAATTAATTTACATGTTCGTAACATAAAATTAAGTATATTCATCATATTCACAGAAAATTATCGTTTAAAAAGGTATAAAAACAAATACAAATTTTAAAAATAAAAAAAATAGATCAATCGAAATTCCGAAAGTATATATAGTTTAAGCTATTCTTACAATTGAAAATTAAATCATGTGCGTGTCATAGTACCGCATCCTCGTACATCTCCAATTTATCATTTCTCGCCATCAGTTTTGCCTTCAGCTGAAACCACGACGGCTCACACACCACGATTCTAATTTTATCGCTCAAATTCTGCATACTTTTAATAGCTAATAATATCTACTTCCTCATTTCCCTTCTCGTAAAAGGAAGAGGTTAGCGAAAACAGCTTCTGTCGGGTTTGCACCATTAAACTGTTGGCGTAACGGATAGCTAAGAAATGATATTTTGATTCTAAATTCAAGGGGAGGGACTATAACTTACCAGACTCTCCATTCGGACCATTGTTTTCAACCCGTTTCCCCATTCCGGGAAGAAGATGGCTCTGAAAATACACACACCAAAAAAAAATAATTGTAATGATAAGACATTATTGGACGGAAAAGTATGAATGGCGCTATGGATAAAATGTTTCTGTCAGACATTTTAAATAGTGGGAGAGATAAAAAAAACGAATTTCAATAGATGCAACGTGTATAGCATAATATTTAATGAAATAGGTATTTGAAGCGTTAAATAATAGGAGTGAGGAATAATATACGTTATGACTATTGTAATAGGAGTAAGGAATACTACACGTTCTGACTTCAGGATTAGACGTTATTTTTTGCCGCATATTAAAAACCAATTAATATACAAATAACTATGCCTACATGGGTATTTAAAGGTTATTAAAATTTTAGTAAGTCTTAAACTAATAAATATTTTTAATCACCAATGAAAAGTAAAATATCTAAAATATCTGCCACATAGATGCCACATATATGCTTAGGTGGCTTCACCAAATCTCTTTAAACTTCTTTATTAATATATATAGATTTTAAGCGAAAGCCAATAATTCTATTTGAACGTTATTTCAATTGGAATAAATACTATTTATGGGAGAAGTTGTATATCACTAATCGTGCATGCGCGATCGCGCTATCGTCGGTGAATTATACAGTCGGAGTATTTTACTCATACCTTCCTATTCCGATGTCAGAATTGAGTGATCTTGGTATCTATACGTAGATATCGAAGAGATCTTTTTAATGAGATATAGAACGTATAATTTGGACCTGTGTGGAAAAAGTTATGAAGTTCGAAAGATAGAACTCTTTGGTATATGCTCTCGGTCAATACCGAAACTTACCGAATCACGTTAAAAAAATAAATAAATATATATCTAATAGACTAAAACCTAAATTGAACAAATTTAAAGTTAAAATGAAAAACTAAAAGAGTTTAGGATGACCCCCCGAAGCCAAAAATTTTAATACTCAATTTGACTTCTACAGACCCAGAGGAGCTCTAGGAAGTTCTCTATCCATCACCCAATCTGCTACCCACTACCCGTAACCCGCAAGCATAATCCGAGGTGAGTGAATTCGAGTGTCCCATGATTAAATGACGTTTGATTCATGCTTTGATTGAAATAAGAATTTTTGGTGAATTACCTGTAGCAAATCATGTATGTTTGTGCAAATTTGGTGGAAAAGATAAAAATGTAGAAATAGACAAAAAAAATACGGGTTAGGCCAGACCATACGTAGTCTGTACCCAAAATAAATAACAGGTAAGGTTAAAACCACGGAATGAACTGAACTGGCTATCCGGACGGATCGGGACATAACAAAATACAAGGTCAATTATTTTGTGTCGTCTCTTGTAGAACAAGTGATTTACATCATTATTAATTTTAGTTAAATATATCTTGCAATTTTTTTTTGTTGATATATCTTGCAAGATAAGGATCAGTGGATCACAAATAAAATGAGCGTGGCGAATTCCACAAGAGAAAGCAACGGACAACCTCATGTGCAAACCAATATAACGAGATATTCGTGTTGAGAAATGTATACAGTCAAGTAAATATCTCTATTCTTTCCCCTCTTTGTAACTAGCCGTTTGTATTATTATGCCATTTTTCTTTAATTTTTTTTCCTTTTATACCTATAAATAACATGTATTATTTTGTAACTATCGCATTGGTTCATTATTTTTCACATATATATTTGCTCTTTTTCTAAACAATTTTAATTTATATTGAAATAATTTTACATAACACCATAAACTAATAAAAACATATATTTTATCTTTATAAAAAAAATTATTCTATATTTTTTCAACTAAATCTATATATAAATAATTGTGTTTGAAGTAATTTAATGCGAAACACGAGAGAGCCCATCGCTGCTACTCTCCCTCGCCGACCATCCGCCGCGGAAATACTTGTCAGGTTCGGGCTCGAACTTGGCAGAGTAAGTCCGTACCACCTCCTCGGGAGACCCCAATCTACCCGAATCTCAGGTATGTGTGATGCCTTCATCCTCGGGATACTCATATTCCGGCCGGGGTCCGCTCCGTCGCTAATAGAAACGTTGGTGCGGTTCCAAGAACCGTGTGTGCCTCGTCACGCAATAGTACCGACTACAATCGGCTATCTACGTAAGTCATCGGGGTGCCCATAACCGTCCTATCGTTCGGACGTTGGCGCGATTATATCATCGCCACATTCACAATCATATCTCATATGGGTGACATCCGACCCGGATCGGATAGCCCATAGATGGGACGCAATCTCGCAAGCATCGTGCGTTCAATCACAAACGTCCGTTTCTACAATCACGCGCTAAATGTTAATTCGAACCCTTTTGAATTAACGTTAACGCCATGCCAGCTACCCTAGTCACACGCATTTATATAGTTTTTTTACTATACATGCATCTCTGCTTGCGTAGTCTTTTATATTTAGTTATATATTTTCTTTGAGTCTTTCCATTCATATTACCGAATTGTACCTCTGGTATGACCTATCTGGTCCCGATCCGTCCGGATAGCCAGTTCAGTTCATTCCGTGGTTTTAACCTTACCTGTTATTTATTTTGGGTACAGACTACGTATGGTCTGGCCTAACCCGTATTTTTTTTGTCTATTTCTACATTTTTATCTTTTCCACCAAATTTGCACAAACATACATGATTTGCTACAGGTAATTCACCAAAAATTCTTATTTCAATCAAAGCATGAATCAAACGTCATTTAATCATGGGACACTCGAATTCACTCACCTCGGATTATGCTTGCGGGTTACGGGTAGTGGGTAGCAGATTGGGTGATGGATAGAGAACTTCCTAGAGCTCCTCTGGGTCTGTAGAAGTCAAATTGAGTATTAAAATTTTTGGCTTCGGGGGGTCATCCTAAACTCTTTTAGTTTTTCATTTTAACTTTAAATTTGTTCAATTTAGGTTTTAGTCTATTAGATATATATTTATTTATTTTTTTAACGTGATTCGGTAAGTTTCGGTATTGACCGAGAGCATATAC